CGACCCTTCCAAGGAGGAGAGGCCTCCATAAAGAAGGTTTTTAAACCTGCCAAGAGCACCAAGGGGCATCCATGAGGCCGCCCCCTCTAAGGAGGAGAGACCTCCATGAAAAAGGTTTTCAAACCCGCATCAATGAGGCCGATTCCTCCAAGGAGGAGAGGCCTCCATAAAGAAGGTTCTTAAACTTGCATCAATTAGGCTGACCCGTCCAAGGAGGAGAGGCATACATGAAGAAGGTTGTTAAACCTGCCATGAGCCCTAAGGGTCATCCACGAGGCCGACCCCTCTAAGTTGGAGAGGCCTCCATAAAGAAGGTTCTTAAACATGCCTAGAGCCCCAAGGGGCATCCACGAGGCCGACCCCTCCAAGGAGAGGATGCCTCCATAAAGAAGGTTCTTAAACCTGCATCCATGAGGCTGAACCCTCCAAGGAGGAGAGGCCTCCATGAAGAAGGTTCTTGAACCTGCCAAGAGCCCCAATGGGCATCCATGAGGCCGACCTCTCCAAGGAGGAGAGGCCTCAATGAAGATGGTTTTTAAACCTGCCAGAGCCCCAAGGGGCATCCATGACCTCTCCAAGGAGGAGAGACTTCCATAAAGAAGGTTTTTAAACCTTTCAAGAGTCTTAATGGACATCCATGAGGCCGCCCCCTCCAAGGAGGAGAGGCCTCCCTGAGAAGGTTCTTAAACCTGCATCCACGAGGCCGTACCCTTCAAGGAGGAGAGGCCTCCCTGAAGAAGGTTATTAAACCTGTCAAGAGCCCCAAGGGGCATCCACGAGGCCAACCCCTCCAAGGGGGAGAGGCCTCCATGAAGAAGGTTCTTAAACCTGCCAAGAGCTCAAAGGGGCATCTATAAGGCCGATCCCTCAAAAGAGGAGAAGCCTGCATGAAGAAGGTTCTTAAACCTGCCAAGAGCCCCAAGGGGCATCTACGAGGCCGATCCCTCCAATGAGGAGAGGCCTCCATGAAGAAGGTTTTTAAACCTGCCAAGAGCCCCAAGGGCCATTCATGAGGCCGACCATTCCAAGGAGGAGAGGCCTCCAAACGCTCGACCTTTCCAAGGAGGAGAGGCCTCCAGACGGCCGACCCTTCTAAGGAGGAGAGGCCTCATAGGAAGCCGACCGTATAAACATGGGTCCACTTCTCCAGAAAGGCCCCTGAGTGGACAAATGAGTTACGTCTGGGTTTGAAGAATGTCAGTAATGCAGGCATTAATTACAAGCCCATAAACCACCCTTTAATGGACGGTGGATGATTAAAAGGGGATGTGCATAGCCGCAATAGGGGACAAAGTGGATGAGTGAACAGTGAAAAAGGTTGTGACAGGCTATGGGTCTGGGCTCACAGGCTAGTAGGCCACTCAAGTGGATGAGCCTACCAAGAAAAACCACCCATGAAGTAATCTCTAGGCTATAAAAGGGGTAAGGCCCTGAATGAAAGAGGAGAGTATTTTTGGCTATTTTTCATATGTAATCAGAGAATAGAGAACTGATTCTATGTAATCCAAAAAGAGCCCAAAAGAAATACAATATACAAGTGGATGTAGCTCTTCATTAACAGAGTGAACCACTATAAATTTTGGGTGTCCTCTCATTCAAGCATTATTCTCATGCTTCTAAAAATATAATAAACACTTTATAACATAATTTCAAATATACAGCTAATTTCTAGCCGGTAACCCCACGGGATACCCAGAGGGTGATCCGGCGTATTTCTGTTGACGAAATTTCACCGTCAACAGTTTCTTCAAGACAGACTTAAGCATGTCCAACCCTTAACACCAAAATGGTGTAATTGTCACATCAAACAGTAAATTAATCTCCAATCCATTTCACCAATTCTAACACCAAAAAGAATGTTCATGTACATTCCTTTTTATCTCCTTTTATATTCCCTTTTACTAATTCCCTACTATTTATCTATTTTACAAATTATGCCCACATACAATATTTTTCGGTTTGTATTATTTACGTATTAATTTTTCTCCATATTAAATTAACCATAATACAAAATTAACAATGTGGGACTCAAAAGAAAGTTTTTTCCTTTTTTGTAGCAAAAAGGAGAAAAAGTTTGTTGAAAAATAATAAATTTGGGAACAATAGAAAACAAATATTCTTTTGGTGCCCTTTTTGCAAATTAAAAAAAGAAAAAAAATAAAAATGACAAGGATTTGGTGTGGGGTGAATAGTGGAAACGCAAATTTGCATTTCCAGTGTTTACCCCATCCACATTCATGGAAAATTGCTGTGAATTTACCCCATCCACATTCATGGCAAATTGCTGTGAAAATTGGTGTGTGATTGGAGCTAATTTCCGCTGTCATATCCACTTTTGCACACCAAAATGGTGTGCGTTGGAATTGGCCTTCTAACGCACGCCATTTTGGTGTGAATGGTGTGGGGTGAACAGAAAACCATTATTCACGCCACACCAAACGCCATGTCATTTTTCTTTTTTATTTTTTTTTGCTTTGAACATACACGGAATATTCTTTTCGGTGTTAGAAATGGTGTAATGGGTTGGAGATGAATTTACACCATTTTGGTGTTATGGGTTGGAGATGCTCCAATGAATATTAGTTGCTGATGATTTATCCATGAATTCAGACCACCTTTTTGTAATAAGGATATATTCCCAGTTTATGTTATGCCACCGCATGGTGAAATGATGTGAGGGTATGGTCGGATCTGGGATGGAGTGAGCTGGGAATTCTTCATATAGACTAGCTTGGATAATGATGATTAAAGAGGAAAAAATGATGATTTCCTGTAAGTAAAGGTTACTGTTGTTGATTGTATTGTTGATAAATCTTCCATGAGTGAAGTGTACTCCAAGTGTTAGCAGTGCATTTCAACAAATCCTGCCTTTCAAATTTGAGATTAATGATCTGACTCTATCCTACTTCAGTGTAAGTTTCTAGTTATTGGATATGAGGTTGAGGCATGTTCTCTTGGTAGTGTGGCTGCCAAATTAGGTAGCGCAAGTGCGAAGACTTGGAATATGAGCCCTGGTTACATGGAAGTGGAATGAGCATGCTTATTAAAATTGCACAGTAATTAGGATTAGAATTTTTGTGGAAGTTGATATCAGGTTTTGGTGTCAGTGTTTAACATGGTCTAAGTTTTTTGTCAAGTGTGAAAAGCCCATGTGAAAGTGAAAATAAAGAGCCTGTTTAGTATTGTTTTTGGAGACCCCAGAAGTCCTTTGTACATAAAATGATGCAAGTTGTGTGTTTCATAAGAAGTATCCAAGAGGATTTTGAACTTACACAAAGTAAAAGTAGAACTTTTGTCTGAAGCACAACAATACCCAACTAAGCTAGAGTGACAGATGATAATATGTTTGTTCACAATCAGCAATGAGAAGATTTTGATCTTGATATATCATGTTAAACTGTGACTATCAAACCAAAAAACTTATTTTGTGAGACCTCTTATGGCTAGTGACTGTGCATATGCGTAACTAGTATGACTAGTGCTGTGACCTCTCAGTATTATTTTAATCTTCAAAAGAAGAAAGTGTTCATTGGGATTTTGTTGTTCCCTTGGCTTCACTTTTCTTTCCTTTCTCAAGAAGTTTTATATTTCACGGCCTTTGTTTGGTTAGCCTTCACAACCCTTCTGCCCGTTTCTTCAAGGCAACTTGCTCCTGTTCAAGTGCCTTTACTGCTATTGATGGTTCTCGTGATGCGGCAATGCTAGTGTAGCTAGTGGAGTAATTTGCTTAGCAGGAGGCTTTGGCATGATTGGTGCCTTGGCCCACGTTAGGGGGAGGACCAATTCTTGAGCTTCGTCAGCTTGGAATGGCAGTGAAATTCGAAGGATTGATAACAAAGAGGGATGAAAACAGCCCGTTGTAAGCCAGAAGTGAGCTCGGGAAAAGTCCAAGAAATCAATTTGCTTCTTAAATAAATGTGCTTGCTCTTCTGTATGATGGAGTTCTGTTTTTGTGCCCATGCTGTCTAAAGCTTAAACAAGAGTTTTCCATGCATGTGAATATGCAGCCTAGTTAACCCGGTTAAGAATCACACATTACCAAGTCGAAATGATATTTCATAATCAATCATAGATGTGTGAAATGGCTTATTTCAGAAGTTAGATAGACTGTTGGAAGGTTTCAGTGCACTTCATTTTTCTACGATATCAATCTAGCTTTGAAGGCAACTTGTCACGTCCTTGTCGCGGCATTTGAAGCCATTGACGATTATTAAAAACCAAGTGAGCCAACCTTCAAATACTTTCTAGGATACCACTGTTTCTAAGACGTGCTTCCACATAGTGAGCTTTTTTGCACAAGTAGTCGACTCCCTTAAAGGATTGGGGCAGGGGCATTGATAAAAAGTTGTGCCTGAAGTTGTTCATGCCCGACTCCACCTCTCCCAGTTCTACTCTCCAAAACATGCGTTACAGCCATTCCAAGATTCTGGGGTTGGGTCAGACAGGATCAAATCTTCTGGATCTGTGGAATCTGAACGGATCAGATCCATTGCAAGCCATCCAGTTCAATGACTGTTTCTGTGCTTTCAGCTTATATTGCCCACATGAATTATTGTCATGAATTTGTTTCCTGTGTTGTGACCCATGGCAATAATTGTGACAGGATTTGAATCAGGATATATTGACTCCTCATAACATACAGTAGGATCATGGCACCCCATATAAGTATTTGGGGATTCAAGAACCCTCTCATAATGTTTTTCCCTCTTCTTCCTTGTCATATATGATGCTTTATGGTTTGCAGCCAAAGAATGGATTTTAGATTTGTGGATCATTGCATTCTCATAATTTGAATAATTTGTTATGTGAAATTATTGATAGCAATATATAGTTATTCATTAGACTGTTGCCTGCTGGTTGCAATTGAAAGTCAACATCAAGTGCCTAGCTAACCTCCATTCTGTTGTCAAAATTCGACCCGTCCAGATAACCTCTTAATGAAAGATTATATGTTTTAAACCCAATTTGATTCTCACCTTATTTTCCTTCTGCTGGATCAGGGCAGGGTAACAAGTCTAGTGGAAATTTTGTCAAGGGTCCTATAATTGGTGGCCCATTCACTTTAATAGATACAGAGAATCAGACAATTACTGAGAGGAACCTTCGCGGAAAATGGGTTCTCCTTTACTTTGGATATACATCTTCTCCTGATGTAGGCCCGGAGCAAGTCCAGGTTATGGCCAAGGCCATAGATAAACTAGGTTTGCCACTTAATTCAACCTTAATTTCGCTTAATTTTACGAATTTGATTCCGCATCCCCTTCTTTCTGTTTGTTTTTATGCCCCTCCAATAATATCATGTCATGTTAAGTAAAATGCCATTTCAATTAAATATCATGCCATATAAATTAAAATATCATGTCAGTTAAAATATTTTAATTCAAGTGGCATGATATTATTGGATGGGCATGGAATAGGAAATGGAGAAAATGACATGGCGTGGGCTTTAACTAAGGCTTACTTCTCACATTGTATTATTTTACTTGGAGCAAGAGGCAAAACACACTATTAAGGTCCTACCGGTGTTTGTTACAATCGACCCTCAGCGTGATACACCATCGCAACTCCGTGCTTACCTTAAAGGTTAGGCCTTCCCAACGACTGAATAATCTTTGAGATGTTTGTTTTATGTAAAAGCCAAGAGGATGTTTGTTTTCTGTATTCGTCACTGATCTGAATCATGATTTATGGTTCTCTACAGTGATTTTCTCTCATAAAAAACACGCGTAAAACAAAAATGATTTTGAATCATGATTCTGAATACATGAACCAAACGTCCACTAAACATTTTGATGGATATGGAATGGCTAATCCTTCTTTTTGCATTTTCAGAATTTGACCCGAGAATCACAGGTTTAACTGGACCTGTTTCAGCTGTAAGGCAGATGGCACAAGAGCACCGCATTTATTTTAAGAAGGTTGAAGAGGAGGGGGATGATTATCTTGTGGAATCTTCTCACAACATGTAAGCACAAGAAGCTATTTTTTTTTTTCTTTTCACTTCTCTATTTTCGGGTTTATCACAATCTTTGTTAACATAAGCAGGTATCTTTTGAATCCGAACATGGAAATTGTGAGATGCTTCGGAGTAGAGTATAATGAGGATGAACTAGCGGATGCAGTATTAAAGGAACTGAAGAGAACCCAAAATTAGTGTCCAACTCTGGTATGGTAGCGTAGCGTTATATGTTGCCAATCTTTTTTGCGGCACAATATAAATCTTACGTTTTCCATTCAAACGCAACGTGGAATTCATGGCATTGAATTTTGCTTATGATTAAAGCACCGTTTCATTTGCCTTTTCCAAGCAAAAAAGAAAAGAAAAACGTGATAATTGGACAAGTGTGATAATAATGGACTCCCCTTTTTTCAGAAGCCACCAAAGGGTTGTGATTATGAAATTTTAACGCATCTCCAAGATATTTCCCACATCAAACTTGTCCAACTTTTGAAATTAGCCAAACTTGTCCAACTTTTGAAATTATTCTTCTCCTAAAAAACCATCAAACTTGTCCAACTTTTGAAATTATCCTTCTCCTAAAAAACCATACTTTTTTACTTGTTTTTCTAGACTAAAGGGGACAGAAAGGACATTTCCGTCTCAAAGAAATGTTAAAGGTACTTGGATGAATCATTTTTGGATTTGATATTATCCCAATAGAAATATAGAATTATCATAATATGCATGTGCGTATTTGATAAAGTTTTGAAAACCACAAGATATCATAATAATTTACTTTAATAATTTAATTTCATACAGTCGGGTCAAAACTTCTTTCCCCTTCCAAGATATAATATGAATTACACGAATATTTCTTTGCTAATATTCTCCCATCTTTGTTTTCATCCAACTTTAGAGGCGTTAGTGAAAAAAAAAATAATGAGGATTTTATGGATGCTGCGTGAAAATATTTTTCTATTGGGGTTTCTTTTCAAACTGATATATTTGTATTAGGTCCTAAAACTGAAAAAAAAAAAGTTATCACGGGCATGAAAGAATGTTTCAATAATTTCACCATGTATATTACCACACCTGAGGATGGTAAGTATTAACTTTTCAAACTTTTCTTCTTTTCTTTTTTTCTTTTCCTTAATGATATATTGCAAAAGTTCATGTGGGGCTTACATCCTGACTTCATGAGCCTCTCTGAATGATCCGACTATGGCAGATTAGCCAAAAATTGTGATGATGGAGTCGGCTTGTCGTAAATTCACTTTAACATAATTTCTAAATAAAAAAAACGTGTATTTTCATTAACCGATTGATGCTTAAAATGACATAATTTTTGTGTTTCTTAAGGGAAAAAAAAAAAAAAATAGTGCTCAAACCATTACTTGATAACATCATTTCAAATGATTACATAAAACTCAGGTAATTAAAACATTGTTCAAGTTCTCTTTGGTAGAGAGTTTACAGGTGGTTTTTGGATGTAAGTTACAACATTGTTCAAATTCTAAAAATATAGAAATGCAGTACTTAAAATGGAGGTTTTATCATTCAAAATAATAATAATAATAATAATTAGATCACCATTCACTACCACTAAGACAAAGTAAATGATTAATTTCATTATGATAAGCAAAAAGAATAAATTTTCAATAGAGACAAATAATAAAAAAAAAAAAGCTTTTAGCATAAATTGTCCTTATATTGTTTAATAAATAACAACTTGGTCCCTGTTCGTTTCTTTTGTACGAAAACACCCCCAAATTTTTGAAATGTCTCCATCTCTCTGTATAAAAGAGCCAAGGCTCTTTTCTCCTAATACTCCCACTCTTTTTTTTTCTTCCTTTACTTTTTTAGCTTTATTTTTAAAACTTTTTTCAAATATTTTTTTGTTAACTTTTTTTACATTTTAATTTTTTAGGTGTGTTTTTTAATATATTTTTTCTTATTACTTTACCCCTGTGAAAGTAATTTTTTCAGCATATGTACCTATTTTTTTTTTTTTTGGTCAATGGTTAAAATAATTTTCTTTAAATGTGTTTCTATTTAATTCTTTTCTATATAATTCATATCAAAATTTATCTTAACACATTTTTTTTAAATGCTAAATTGTATTATTTTAATATACAGTTATAGATCTTTTTATGTGTTTAAAATTAAAAACGAGTATTATTTCAACTAAAATTTGTTTAAAAAAAACATTTTTAAAATATATTAAAAAATTCTTAAATAGTTGGATAAATGACTTTTTCGTTATCCGATAAATAATAAACTATTTAAGTGTCTCTAACACGAAAAAAAAAACGTGTGCCTCACATCCTCATTGTCAGCCATCATTAGCCCTACCTTACCCCTATTGGAAGTAGGGGGGTGTAAATCAGCCAGGTAGGCTCAGGGTTGGGCTTGAAATTGGGTCAAGCCGCACACTGTGGGTTGAGAAAAATTTGGGCCACAACGCCCCCTTGAGCCCACAAACCAGTAACCCTTAGGGTTATCTTAGGTAGGCTGGGTTGACCGGGTTGGCCGGCTTGGTCGGTTTGGGCTTGAACATGGTGAGCTCTTCGCGGATGAGATCACCGGTGGCCATGTGGGGGATGTCGAGGAGGCTGGGGTAGGTGCCTTTTCCGATGCCGACGCAGCCGAGGAAGACCCACTAGACGTTCGGCGATGGAAGTGAGGAAGTGAGAACTAAGAATCGGCGGAGGAAGTGAGAACTGAGAACCTCCTAAAGGTGTGAGAAGAAGAAGAGAACTCTGACTCTTTGAGTCTGAGATTGAAGAAAATGAAGAAGTGAGAAACGACGGAGGAAGTGAGGAAGTGGAATCTGGCCCGACACCCTACCCGCACATTACGGGTTCGGCATATTTACAACCAAAAAAAATTAAAAGATCCCCACTATTTTTGGGTAGGGTTGGATCGATTCGGGCGGACTCGTTAGATTAGAGCTCATTTCTTACACCCCTAATTAAAAGGAGATTGATTCTCCATTTCATACGCACCCATCATGGTCGTGCCCAAGCTCCTCCACCGTGACATTCACATTGCGAGGCCACCCTTAATATTGTCACCATGAACGTAAATATCAACGACATTTCTAAAATTTCAGTTTTTCATAGGTACTGAAATATGTACTAAAATGTCTTTTGATTGTAAAATCATTTACGCACAATTTCAGTTCTAGAAGAATCTGAAACCGTGCTCTGATACTATTAAATTTCATAAGGAGCCATCACTAGAGAATTCGATGTGGACAAGACAATTTCAACAATCACATTACTTGTACTAAACCAACTATCAAATGTAATTATACTGTTTTTGAGGAAAAGAAATTGTGAAATATTTAAAACCTAAAAGCTGTTGTAAGGCAGTGACTTATTATTATATTGTTATTATTATTATCGAGATTCTTTATGTTTTCAGGGTTTAGATTATTTAAATCCAGATTTATTTTACATTTAACTTTAATTAGTTACGTCCCTCGTTTCAGATAGTGACACTGAGGGGTTATTCTTTTAGAGCAAAACTCAAAAAAAATTTAAACTCGAGTTATAATTTTATTTAAATTTATATTCTTTTGTAAAACTCAAGTTTGAACTTAAGTTTGCACTCAAGTTTAAACTCGAGTTTATGGCTAAACTTGAGTTTAATGGGCTGTTCGGCAACCCATTTTTTGAGTCAAAAACTCAAAACAGCAACTCGAGTTATAACTTTATTTAAGCTCATGTTCTTTTAAGTTTAAACTCGAGTTTGAGACTAAAACTCGAGTTCAAGTTTCCTCTTCAACTCGAGTTCAGAAACTCGAACTCAAATTAATGAACAATATTTTTTCTATTCTTAAAAATGTTATAACTTTTTCGTTTTAATTCTGATTGAGAAGATTTTTTTTCTATGCGTTGACAACGAAAAGACGAATAAAACCCCACTCATATACCCTATTAAAATTTTCCATCAGCATTGAGTTTTTATTAAAATACTATCTAAATACAAATTCAAGTTTTGACTCACTTAAAACACAAACTCAAAAAGATTCTTATCTCAAATCATAACTCAAATGTACACAATCAAACACAAACTCAAGTTACAACTTCAACTCAAGTTATAACTCAAAATCTACACTCAAATCACCTAACTCAAAAACGACAAAAGAACAGCCCCTAAATTTTCCTTTCAACTTGAGTTAATAAACTCGAGCTCAAGTTAATGAACAATATTTTTTTTATTTTTAAAAATATCATAACTTTTTTGTTTTAATTCCGATCGAGATGATTTTTTTTCCTATACTTTCACAACAAAAAGACGAATAAAACATCACCCATATACCCTATTAAAATTTTTCATAACCATTGAGTTTTTATTAAAATACTATTTAAATACAAATTTAAGTTTTAACTCAACCAAACATAAACTCAAAAAGATTTTCAATTCAAATCATAACTCAAATATGCACATCCAAATATAAACTCAAGTTACAACTTCAACTCAAGTTATAATTCAAACTCAACTCAAGATCATCACTCAAGTCACCATAACTTAAAAATGTAAAAGAACAACCCTGGGTGATTTCACTGCTCGCCTCCTCGCACCTCCATCACCGCCAGTTACCTTTCCATGAGCTCCATGTTTGTAGAAGCTTTTTTTTTTTTTTTTTTTTGCCAAAAAAAAAACCTCTCAAGAACTCCACCTATGAGCTATGACATACATGCACATCATTTAATACAATTTAATGCCAAGTTAAAGATAGCGACCACAAATTCAAAATGTGAAAATATTTAATCCACTATACCCTACACCCACCTAATTCGAACAACTCCAATTTTCATTTTTCATAAAAAAAGTCTAATGTTCAAGCACATCCAAAACTGTCCATATGTTTCACTCAAAAAAAAAAAAAAAAACATTTTTTGATTAATATACTATATACTAATAAGTCAATATACTGTATATGTATACTAATAAATTAAATTTTTTGTCCGTTAAATTTACATAAAATTATATAAAAATACGTAGATTTAACTATTAAAAAAATTAACTATTATCCCAAGAAAAAAAGCCAAAACATTTACTTAAAAATGAAAAAAAAAGGTCCATTATTCTCAAAGACCCGAATAATCCGCTTATATAGGTGCAATTTAATACAACAAAGCCCACTATTTTTTTCCCCAGCCAAGGCACAACTTTAATCAATACAATAATATACCAAAGGAGTACAACAAACCGCTAAAATAATACAGCCTTTCAAATCTCATCTAACTCCACATCCAAATACCCCTTTCTCTTTATTTCCTCCCCAAAAACGACACACAACGCAATTAAGTACTCCCCTTAAACGACAACAGAACTCAAACGACCAATCTGGGGTAGCGAAGCGGTCTTAACCTGGTGTCTAACGCCGTTGTCGCCGCCGCCGCCGCCGCCGCGCTTGGGGCAGTAGTCCCTGATCGCCGTTAGCTCATACGGCGACGTATCGCTGGCGAGCCACTGCTCGATCTCGAACTGCTGCTGGTGGCAGGGGATGTGGACCCCAGTAGAGGTGATCTCCACGTAGTTGACGTACCACCCGTGGTGGGGCCCAGACCCGTCGGAAGTCAGGTTCAGCTTGCATATCGGCTCCTCCAAGCACGGTCCCCGGCCGCTGAAAATGTCGAGATTGCCCCTCTCGAAGTAGTTGTAGTCGGGCCCCATCAGCCCTCCCCACTTCTCCAGATCCTTGATCAAGATCCCGTAGCCGTCCGATGAGAAGAGCTGCGCGCTGATCTTCGAGTCCGTCCCTCCCTTTATGACCGATCCGGTCCTAACGTAGATCGTGTACACGCAATCCGGATCCTGCCAAAAAAAAAAAAAGAAAAAAAACAAAACAAAAGAAAGAAAAAACGACTTATCAGAGTTTCAAGAAAGAGAGAGAAATACATGAGATTAATTTGGGAAAGAAGTGGTTACCGAGTCGGAGATGACGAGGACGGAGAGAGTGAGGAAGAAGAGAGAGAACAAGAGAGATCTTCGGAGCTCCATTTTTGGGCTAAGTTTGACTGGAGTGTTTTGGGGCAAAAGAGTGAAGCTTCGTCGGGTCTGTACAAGGCTTTAAATAGTTGATTGGATTATTGTTTTTTGGGTTTGGTGATGGTGACTTTATTTGGGGGGTTTTCTGGAATTACGCTTTTTTCGGTGGTAAATTATCTTTTGGGAAGTGACGATCTGGTGTGTTCGTCCCACCTGTTTGGACTTACGTTTGCTGATTGAGGCCTTATTTATTTCACCTATTTAAATTTTAAATTTTAAGTTTTTACGGTTAAAATTTTTTAAAAAATATTACATTTAATTTTTTATGTTACAGTAAAAAGCTCTCAAAATTACCACGTGGAGTATAAAATAGGAATTTCATTGCTTATTTCTTCAACGTGAGTTGGACACGATAATGATAAGTAAAAAGTCATGATTTGAATCATGATTCATAATTTTTTATAATATTTTTTTATAAAAAATACACATAAATTAAAAATAATTTTAATCACATAATTTTAATCCATAAACTAAACGTCTCATTATGAATAACAATAATTTGGACACGCCTATTAGTAGCAAAAAAAAAAAACATAAAGAAGAATTTGGCACGAGGAGGGAAAAAAGAAAAAAAAAAGAAAAAAAAAGAAAAAAAGAAAGAAAGAAAACATGAGTCGACACGTAAAGATGTGGAGTTTTCTAGATTTTTTTTTTATCTGAAAAGTTTTCATTAGAGTCGGCAGTCTCTTAATTACATTAGTCATAAGCAAGGACAGAGTCAAAAAATTTATTTAGAAGAACTTGAGTGAAATAAAAGCTTTAATAATCCTTTTCTTTTATTATTTGTCCTTTGATTTTTGATTACTCCACAAATTTTAAAATGCTCTCGTTTATAGATTAAACCGTTAATTAAAAAATCAGTAAGAAAAGTCTTGATATTCCTTAAAAGAAATAAGTCGATATTTTTACAATTTTTTATGGATATTTTTACAAATTTAGTCAAGGGAATATTCTTTACTGCTTTCAAAAATAAGAGGATATTTTGATTTTGTATAATAATTAAGAAAAGAAAATGTGACCTTTCAACTAAACATTACGAAGTGTTGGCAAAAATAAAATAAAATAATTAAATTAGAGGATATTTAAGGTCGGATGTAAAAGGCATTTCAACAAAAGAGAAAGAAAAGCCAAAAATATCTATTAGATTAGAATTGTCTGACTACTAAAACTCAAATGTAGATCCATATGTACAAAATATATACATGAAGGATAGTCGGTGAGATGTGCTCTTTTTGAGTTACTTTATTTTAGTCAAAAATGTTAAAATAAGTTTTTCTAAACAAAATTAAGAAGCAAACTCGAAATAGTTCCGGAAAAAAAAAAAAAAAAACAAATCAACCTACATACTCAATGATTATTTAATTGGGTAAAAAGACTTTATAATAATTACACTAATTATAATGCTATTTCTAAGTAGACACAAAAAAGTGAATGAAATTGTTTCATATTACACCATATAATAATTAAGTAAACACTTAAAAGGTAATTAAAGATTTTTATTTCTATTACTTTACTTTTCTTTCTAATTTCATTATCTCTCTTATTAAATTCGTTTATTAAATGACGCCTTAATTTGAAGCTCATTCACACTCACACATTTGTTAATATAAGATAACAAATCCGGATACAGTGTTTATTGCTTATCAAAGTTTAGTTATCATATCCATTGTAATTTTGCAAAGCTATCTGTGCATATATAATTTGCCAGCCCCTATTTCAAAGTAATTTGAAGTAATTTTTTTTATGTTAGTAAAAATGAAGTGGTACCTTTATAGAGGAAAAAATATAAGAGAACCATGTGAATTTAAGACTCCAAATCTAACAATAAAGCTTCGTTTGTTTCGTTGATTCGAGTTTAGAATTTGAATTTTGCTACAGTAAAAAGCTCTCATAAATAATCACATCTAACTTTTTTGCTACAGTAAAAATCTCTCACATAAAATCACATCTCAACTCGAATCAGCGAAACGAACGAGGCTAAAATTTGTCTTATTTGATATAATATTTAAAATTTAATTGTTTGTTCTTGATATTCATGATTTTGGATGAAGCTAACATGCACACAGATAGAAAAATAGGAAACTCAAGTAGATTTAACGTTTTGATTTGCGTATTTCAGTGTGAATAATGCAACTATATTTTGACTGGATTTTTTTTTTTATTATTTTCTTTGTAGAAAGTTATTATATGGACGGAGCCAAAGAAATTAATCGGGAGGAGTGAGGGTTTGATTTAACTAATTATGTGGTTGAGTAAATAAAGAGATGTAAAGTGTTAAAATTCAAATTTTATAAATATATACATATAAAAATAGGTGTGTTTTTAATAATTACTTCAATATGAGTATCATTATTTTAACCATAAGATATTAATCCGATGGTTATAATAAATTATATCGTTGACCAAAAAAATTTATAATTGATGGAACTGAATTTTTATCACGTACGTCATCAGATTTTTTATATTTGGTGGTAAAGATAGTCACTGTGTCCTCTATGACTTTCGCTTTTAGTGTCACATATACTTAATCATTCATGATTATGGAGATCGTAGTAAGGATCTTAAACTTAAAATTTCTGATATTCAGGGTCCTTTATTAGAGGCAAACACATAACATACTAAAGAGAAAGAGAATTATTATAATATAAGGGAAGAACTCGTCTACATATATATATGACTATAATAACACAATTTTTTACATAATCGATAACGAACAAAATATAGGCCCTTAGATTAAATTCAAGGGTGTAGAGGGCTGTAGGCGAAGTAAAACTAAAACGTAACCCACTACAGGCTATTACATTTTTTTTTTCTCCAAAGGAAATTGTATTCTAAATAAAAGAGATACAACCACTAATGTTGATTCGAATGAATTTGAAATACAAGATAGCTTAATTAACCTCAATCACTGACCGGTACCACTAGTAATTCCTAATGGAACATCCAATGCAAGTGTGCAACAAGCTTCAACAACTGAAAGCAGAAAAGGCAAGCTAACAATTTAGCACACATGCAACTCTTTAAACAACAACTCTACAATCGATAGAAATCTTTGATCGATTGACACTAAAAGACCGTTAAACCAAAGGTCACCCACAACACTTCTAAGAATAAACTCAAGCAGACTAGCCACAAAAATAAAATCGGAAGATAGGGAGACCACCTCCATTATTACAAAACTAAAACAAAAACAACAAATTAAAACACAAATCCTAAGATGTGGAAAACACATTGCCTTTATTTGAAAAACCCCACTATAAAATAGAGATGAAACCCTAACACCACAGGAAAAACATTTTTACGCAATAAAAAAAGCCAAGGAGAACAAATCTGAATGTAGTCGGAGTCATCGTAAACGAAATATTACTGAACCGTTGTGTGGAGATGTGTAGTCACTGACAACCACCCATCTCGATACGCACCACCTACAGAGAGTCGCCACACCTTTAAAACCAAAACCACCAAAGAAGTTCACCCTCTAGAGAAATCACATATCGCCCGCTGCCACAAACTGTCACTGAACCATACCTAAAATAGAACCCACAGCGACGAACAAACCCTACTCCTAGATTTGCCTTGACGAGATGGACAAGGACCTAGGATTGCCAAGCCACTGTAGATTCAACCCTCCTAAGGGAGAAAGTCGTAATTTGGCAGCCTCCAACCATTACCTCTCCAAGACCTAAACTCCCCCAACGATGCATACTATGTTGGAATGATATCCTAAAAGTATGAGATATAATGAAGGATATGATCATTATTTATTTAACAAAAGAGAAATTTCATTATTTTATATGCATGTATTTTGTATACTCTATGAATATCATTGAAAATTCTGTGATTATTTATGTGATCTTAAATATTGTATATAAGTATTATTACTAGAGGATAATATTTATGGATAATAATCGAAACAAGTCCATAATGAAGTTAATTAAAGTTTAGAATATTTAATTAAAACATTATTAATTCATGTCATTCCCATTAAAAATGAAACAAGTTTATCCGCGTTGTTGATAGGAAGGATATCGAATGTGTGTATTTTACATAATGAGATTATGTAGGACTAAGACATGACATAATATGAAATTATGGTAATTTTTATTAAGTATATAAATACTAATTGAGTCTACTGATAATATATATAATGATCTTAATCTTGAGTTATTAGCAAACTCTTATTTATGAATTCGTGTCTTTTTACTTACTCAGTATGGATTTCAAGATAGCTAAATCTTATTCCTTGTATCTTAGAGATATGAAGTGAGTAGTTGTGAATGTTAATATATGAGATAGAATGCATGCCTTCTTAAGAAAAAAGTAGATAAATAATTTCCTTTATGGTTGATTTGGTACTTGGATTAGTATGAGCTCCAATTCATAAATTTGTTTTTATATGAATCACTATCCATTAAAAAATCAATGGTACTCAAGGATAAATATGTAATTAGAGAGGTTAACAAATTTCACCTAACTTGCTCTAATTATGAATTATATATGGAAGATTGATTTATATGAACTGACTATATCAAATGGACGTTTCACGAATGTAAGTAAATGTCTATAATATCAAGAGTGGAATTTCAAGTTTATAGTGGAGTAACTTTAGAATTAATAGAATTAATTGATTAAAGAGTTTGATTAATAATTAATTTTATTGGAGCTTTGATATAATAGGTTCCTAAGTCCCTCGCGTCATCCTTGTGATTCTACAAGACATTAAGGATAAAATTAAAAATTTAGAATTATGAAATTTTAAATTAAATCACTCAAAATAATTAATTGAGAATTAATTAGATATTAAATAATGTGATTATTTAATAGGTAATTTTGGAATACATATGTGGTGGGGTCACATGGTGTACACACCTTGCATAGGTGGAATCCTTCTGAAATTTAGTTGCTTAAACTCCAAGTTATCCAGTTCACTTGTTAAACAAGTTAGTCAACTGAAATTCAAATTAGTTTGAAGTTTGACTTTAAATAGAAATTTAAATTTGAGTCAAAATTGGGCAAAAGGATTAAGGATGAATCT